TAGGTTAAATGTATTGTCAGAATTTTAAGTGTCAAAATTTCTTACAGATTCCATTTTAAATATTATTTTTATTAATTAAAATTTATAAATTTTATAATTTTATAAATTAATATAAAATATATAATAAAATAATATTTTAAATTTGTTTATTAATATAATATATATTTTAAATAATTTTTTAAAATAAAATATAATGAAAGATCTGAAATTATCTAAAATATTTTTTTGAATTTTTTGATTTTTTGTTAAATTTAGACGTTATTTATTAAAAAAAAAATCTTATTTATTATATAAAATAAAATTTTCATTATTTTGTAATTTTATAATCTTTTTACTGCAAATTTGATTAATTAATTAAACTTATTATAATTTACTATTTTTTATTGATTAATATGAAAATATATAATAAAAAATGATTTTTAATAAGAATAATATTTTATAAAATTAAAGTTATAATTTTTCAAGTTATTTATTTTGAAATATTTTTTTATTATTAAAAATACTTATTAAATAAAAATTAATAATAATTTTATAAATTAATTTTATAAAAATTAAATTTGATTAAATATAATATTTAAAAATTTTTTTTAAATAATTAAACTAATATATAGGAGCTTGTCAATAGAAAAGGAGGAAATCTAAAAAAAATTAAAATTTCACTTCATATGTTAAATATGAATTTTTTTTAGTAAAATAAGTCCAGATTTAACATTAACTCAAAAACATTTTTTTTAGATTTCCTCTCTTTCTATTGACAAGCTCCCATATTATTAATCTTTTGTATTTTAATTTTTAATTTATAATTTAATTTTATAAAATAAAATTGTTTTCTATTTTAAATATTTTAAATTATAAATATATAATATTAACTAATGTAACAAATACATATTAAATATTTATTTATTTTTATTATAATTATTTTTTAGTATTTTAAGAATATTAAAAATTAAAATAAGTAAAAAATGATTAACAACTCTAATAATTTTTTATAGAATATAATAATTATAAAATATTTATTAGAAAGTTTGCTAGAAAAATGTACTTTTTTAAATAAAATTTGATTTTTATTACATTTTAATTTTTTAATAATATTAAATTAAAATATAATAAGAATTAAAATTTAGTCAAAAATTTTTAGAATCACATTTTTCTAACAAACCTTTTATATAATAATAAAAAAATAAATTTATATTAATTTTTTAAAATAATTATAATAAAGATTAAAAGTTAACTTATATATTTTTTTTATTAAAATAATTTATAAAGATTTGCAGGTAAATTTGTTTGCTTATTTATTATAACTTGTTTTTTTTGATTTTATTTTTATATTTTTTAAAAATAAAATTTTTATTATAGTCAAACCTTGATATAGCAAACTTTTGATATAATGAATTTTTAATATTTAACCAATCAAATAAATTAAATATATCTCGCTATTCCTTAGATTATAGAGAAGTTTTGTAAGTAAATTTACCTACTTATTTACTATAAATTTTCTTCTGATTTATTTATATAAATACAGTCAAACCTTGATATAGCGAATTTTTAAATCAAATATATTAAAATTACCTTTACTATAGTGAACTAGCCAATTAAATTCTTTAAAAAATTCATTATAAGCTTATAACGAAGTTGATATCCAGATCCTAGAATTCGTTATATCAAGAGTTCACTGTATATCATTCTTTTTCATTTACATGAATATAAATTTCTTAAGAAAATGATTCTCTTATTATATTTTTAAGCTTGAAAATACAAACTGCTAGTAATTTTGTGTCATCAGCCATACATTCTAGTATAATAGTAAAATTTGTTTTTTCATTACCTGTAATTCGTAAAGTAAATCAAATGTAATAGATGTTTCATCCATATTACTAATGTATTTTAATAGATAATCATGTTGAATTCATCTATATAAAATAAAACTTAAAAAATTTTGTTGTTTTACTAAAAGATCATCAGGAAGGTATTATGCAATATGTGTTATTCTTCTTATAGCAAGATTATACCTATTCATAAACCTTTCTAACTATGCTTCAAAAAATTTAAATTGTATAATAATTGGATATAGATCTACCCATTTTTTTCCTTAGCAACCAACTTTGCTTTTCTAATTAACTTATTTTGTGTAACAGTTATAACAGCTTTTGCATCCTTACATAAATCAGATATTTATGTAAAAAGATTTTTTACAAATTCTGAAAGTATTGCACTTTTACCTTTATGTAACTTTTGTATATGTGGTGTTACACTTTTAAGTTAAGACCTTTGATTTATCTAATAACAGATTTGTTTTGTTTTCATTTCAAATCTTCTTGCTGTTAAATATATACTTTCACAATGTTCAGCATGATTTACTATAAGTTGTTTTTCACGAGCACACCACTGCCTTTTTTATTTATTGTCACTTGTATCTTTTTGTTTTTATCTCAATGAATAACCATATTGTTAAACTTAATAAAAAATACAAAAATTAAGCAAAAATGATTTTATTGATTTAAATTTGTATAAAGGATAAGAACACGATTTTGATCTAAATTGATAATCTGCAATTTCTAAAGTAATATTTTAGATCATCAATAAGATTACAAAGGTTTGTGTATCCTTATTCTTGTTCAAAGTATCTCCTATAGTTAATGATGGCTTTAGATAAGTAAGTAATATCAGCTCGCAACTTTACTATTTCTAATACTTGTGTGAACTATATACAATTAATGTATTTTCATAAAGTTATTTACTTTAATTATATAAACATTACTTTTAATCAATTTCTATTTTTAGTATAAAAATATTCTATACTGCTTCATAAACATTTGACTGAGAATGAATTGATACAAATATCAAAAATATATATTACAACAGTTCTAATTTTTGGATAAAAATCCTGAATCTAATACCAGTATTTATAAATATTATTTTTGAATTAAGCAATAGATTCAGCATTAAAAATTATTTAGTTCCTTGTGAAAAATTATTAAATTCATTAAGAATATTTTCAGGATCTTAACCAGTCTAAGCTTTATAATAGTAAATTAGCCATTTGCCTATTTATAAATAACTAATTTGTGATTTTAAAGATAATGCAAAATATTTTGTTTTATAATTAGGATGAAGAAGCCAGAAAAGAATAAAAAGAGGTTGTTTTCATAATTTCCATCTTTTTTGTAATTGTATTAAAATTTTTTCAGCCAGATTTCTATTTGAATATTTTTGTTAAATTGATATACACAGGTTGAACGCTGATAAATCAGGTATCTTTTCGATTGGTCACTATTTTTTGATTAGCAATTAATAGATAGAAATCAGTAGATACTACAATTGGGTATGAATCGGTTAATATCATAATCATAATTATTAGGTAAAATTACATAAATCGGGTTCCAACCCGATTTTATACTTATTTTAAAAAATTTATAACTATATGTTAAATAGTAACAAATTGGTTTCAAGAGATAATAAAAAACTCTTTCTGCTGATCCACCCGACCATGCCTCAGCAACGAAAAACACCAAAAAGTTTTAACAATAACCTGAGCAAAAAAGCTCAACGCGGCCGTTCTGGTTCGCCAACAAATGAAAGAGCAACTAAGAAACAACAACTTGATACCCCAGACTTCTCTACACCTGTCAACGATAACAAAACCAAAACAGATATACCGAAAGAAACTGAAATGGAGGTCAACCCAGTTCCTTCAACTTCTAACGACAAAGGCAAACAACCTGAAGTTCCTATACCACCAGTCAAAAATTATGGTGAAGACGAAAGCTTCGACACTACAGAAAACTTGCTTGGAACTAACAGCAATACTAATATTATTAATTTTGCCTGTGAAGATGACTCTCCCCTCTTCTTTGCATACTGTGCCAACGAAAAATTTTATCCTGAACATACAAACAAAGAAAAAATCAATCTGACCAATGAAATTTTCAATGGACCGCATCTACCGTCGTTCATTGGCGCATCGGTTAGACCACATCCGGACAACAAACAGATGAAAATTATTAGAATCAGTTTTTCAACTCGTGCTGACTTTGACTATGCTATCATAATGCAAATTACCCATTTAGGCAATGAGACCTTCAACCATTAGTCATTGAAAAATCAGCCAAATTTACCCCTGAATTATCAATCAAAATTACGGAGATCCCAATATCCACACCAGCCCAAAATATCAGATCGTTATTCTCCTTTTTTGGGAAGATTACACGTTGTACTATGACCACAAAAAATTTATGGTAACAAGCCACACTCACATTCGAAGAAGGTACTGATATGTCACAATTAGACCAAGTGTACGGATACTTTGTACTCAAAGATATGGTTAGAGTACACCGTTGCACCCTCGAAAATTTGGCCATTAGAGAAAAATCAAAATTCTCACTCAAACTTACTAATCTCCCCAAAGACACAAATGGAAGACAATTGACCCCTATTGGCAAAGCCGTAAATGCCACAGTATTCGTTATACCAAAATCTAAAGCTATTTACCATAATTTGCAATATGCAGTTTTCTACTTCAAGAATGATGAAGACCGCCAAGCAGCAATGAATGGAGATACCATTTTCTTGGATTGCAAGAGGCTAATTTGGACAGATCTGGCTAGCAAACTTTGCTTTATATGTTCAGTATCAGGACATCGATCGGATAACTGTCGGAAAGCAAGACAAACACCCAAAGATAGACAAATGCAAAATCTCTATCAAAGATATTAACCAGCACAATTCAAGAACTATACTGCGCCTAGCAAACCTGTTTCAAAGTCGATCTCGTTCGTTCACATGACTAATAATGGAAAGGGAAAAGTACCAGATACCCCTCAACCACAACCAAAAAAGATTTTGCCACGTCCTTCTATCAATAATAGTAAACCAAATAGGGAAAATTCTCTCAACGCAAGCATTCATGCACCGAACGATTGGGCAGATGAATCAGAATACCTCCACCCAAATCCTAAAGGTTACGCCAAACCCATTAACGATATCAATAACCACGAACAACCTAATAGAATGGACCTTCTAATGACTAAACTAGACGCAGTCTCAACACAATTAGGTCGTCTTCATGAGGATTTACAATTCACCAATGAAAGAGTTTCTACTATAGAATCCCTTCTTAAAATATATTCGACTTCTCCAAAACAAGCGGCCATCATCAATGCTCAACCTACGGGCAAAAATATGGAAGAAGAAGAATACATTGTATGACCTGATATAGATATATCTGAATCTGTAATCACTACCCAAAAAATCGATATTAAAACCCTCCAAGATGAAAATCTACACCTTA